CATACATTAGAATCAAGTGGGTTATGAACTCCCATTTTTTTCAAATGAGGAGTTGATTCCCTAGCAACCTCCAAAATGGCCTTTTTGAAAATAATTTTGAGTGGATTTAGAAATATTAATATGTTTTAATTAATTATATTTTCATTCTTATTGATGCTAAAATAGTGGCTAGGAGGAGCCCTTTCAGATCAGCTCCTAAGACCTTTTCTTTTTAATTTCTATTTTGAGTCCTGGGGATTGAACTCAGGGGTGCTTTATCACTGAGCTACATCTCCAGCCCTTTTCATAGTTTATTTAGAGACAGGGTTTTGCTAACTGGCTGAGGCTGGTCTTCAACTCATGATCCTCCTGCCTCAGCCTCCAGAGTTGCTCAGATTACAAGTGTGTGCCATTGTGTCCAGCATCCAAGACCTCTTATCAAGGACCTAAAAGTTTTGGACTTCCTTGTCTTATGGTCTGACAAGATGTTCTATGCTTATCTGTTTTGTTTCCTGCTCTAGAATCAGGCATTTTTCCATGGTCTCTTTTTTCTTTTAGTTTTTAAGTGGGTAGTACAATTTCAAAAACAAACTGGATGATATGAAGGTTCATTGCTGCTGCATTGATCCTTATTTTTTTTTAAGAGAGAGAGAGAGAATTTTTTAATATTTATTTTTCAGTTTTCGGAGGACACAACATCTTTATTTCATTTGTATGTGGTGTTGAGGATTGAACCCAGTGCCCTGTGCATGTCAGGCGAGCACATTACCGCTTGAGCCACATCCCCAGCCCTTGGTCCTTATTTTTATACCTCTTTAGTGTTCAGTGCTAGGCATTACACACACACACATACACACACACACACACACACAATGATACATATCATACAGAGACAATTCCAATTTATATTCACGACTACAGGGTAAACCAGGCATGGTGGAGCATGCCTGGAATTCCAGCTACTTGGTAGTCTGTGGCAGGAGGATGGCAAGTTCAAGCCAGCCTGGGCAACTTATGAAGACTCTGTCTCAAAATTAAAATAAAAAGGCTTGGATGTAGTCAGTGGTAGAGCACCCCTGAGTTTAGTCCCCAGTACTGCAAAAGCAAAGCAAAACAAAACAAATAGAAAAAAAACCCAAAACGAAACAAAAAACATACAGGATAAATTTGTCTATCTTACACATATGTAGATTATGGATTAAAATATAATATGCTTATGCATTTGCTTTATCCTGCACTATACATAAAACATAGAATAACAAAAGTAGCCTTCCACCAATGTGATTACAGAAAGGAGTCTGAAAAAGATATTTGTGCATCTGCTCTTTCCACTGTCCCCATTCCCTAGGTATATACTACAGACTCCCCTCTGTCCCTAGGGCCTCATTCATCCTCGATCCTTCCTGGAAACACCAGCCTTTACCAGTGTCCCTCTGTTTGGGTTGCTTGAAACTAATTCTTGAGCAGATTCCTAAGACACAAGTCATGGCAATCCCATTCTGCATGTTGCTGCATGTTGGTTACAGTTTGCTGAATTTATACTTTGAAAAGCAGCTTGGTTGGATTTAATAGCCTTTGTTCAGATTTTCTCTCCTTTATTTCCTTAAACTGTCTTGTGTCCACATACATTGTTGCTAGAGGAAAATTTAGTTTTTTTTTTTTTTTTTTTTAACCATTGTACACCAAATCTCTTTGGCTGAATAGTCAAAGACTTAAAAAAAAAGTTCAATGATTTGAGTAGAAAACACTTAGGTTTTACTTGTTATGTGCTGGTTTTCCCATGTGTGTTCTTGCAATTTATGGATTGGATTCCCCTCTCCACTCTCCAGAGGAAGGGATCCTTAAATTGTACATTTTCATATTTGTCCTTTTCCTTTGCTTTTTTTGGGAAACCCCTATTACATATATATTACATTTTCTTTTTGCTTGTCTTCTATATTTGTTGTTTCTTTTAAGTCATCTTCCTAATTTATCTTTTATTATTAAATGTGCACTGAAAATCTCCATCTATTTCTCTTGGGGCATTATATATTGTATTTATTTATTCTTGAGGTCCTCTTACTTCAGTGCTATTTCCTAAAAGTTAAAAAATTGAAATTTTAAACTTTTATTATTTATTATTAGTTCTTTTTTAATATTTATTTTTTGTTTTAGGTGGACACAATATCTTTATTTATTTTTATGTGGTGCTAAGGATAGAAACCAATGCCTCGTGCATGCCAGGGTAGTACGCTATCACTTGAGCCACATCCCCAGCCCCTATTATTAGTTCTTGAGTCTATTGCCTCATTTCTGTGATTTTATTTATAGTCGTGTCTTATAAATTGTTTTTTCATGTCTCAGATCATTTTATTCTTTTTACATAGGGTAATTTTTAATGTTTTCTCCAAATTGAGGTTTTAAAAAGTTGAAACAAATCTTAGAAACCATTAAAGAAAACTAACATTTCATTAAACTATATAAAATTTAAAAATATCTCTGTGAAAGAAAAAAATAAAGTCAAAATACAATAGAGCTTGGAGAAAATGTTGGAATTCAGATCAGCAAATGACTAATTTCCTTAATACATAAAGGAACCATTTTTAATGCCTTTTCCTTGCTCTACAATGAGGGAATCCAGCTTTACCTGATCTGTGCACACCTCTCTGAAATGCTTTTGTTGTCTAGAGGGATGTTATTTTGCATTTATTCTCTTTTCTTTTGCTTATTTTGTATGAGATTTGCCATTGATCCTGTCCTGTCAACTCATTTTCACATAAAATTGATTTTCCTGCTCTTGCAAAAGTGAAGCACAGTACAGGATAGATTTTCTAGTTTCACATATAAGGAGTGCCCTCTTCTGTTGATTTTGAGGACTGTGAACAGATGTGTGTTTACTATCAGCGATCCATATTTGTTCTCCCTCCCTTTTATTTGGACCTTCTGTTTTCTTTACTTCTGTCACTCCTATTTTGCTTTATTTGTATTCTATTCCCCACAGTTTCTCCTCAGTGAAAGTCCTTGCCTTGAAAAGAAGTTTTGAGAGTTCATTAGGTCCAGTTCATCTGAGCCCGTTTAGATCTTTAGGGTGATGATAAACCCTCTCTGGCTTCTCCCCTAGACACTTTGGGTTCCTGGAGTGTGGGGCACTAGCTGCTTCCTCCTTGTATACCAAGCTACTTCCACAGGGGCTGGCTTGACACAGGAATGACCTTGACATGTCAATGAACCCCATTCACCACCCACTAATCTCCTGGAGGAAGGGGGTTGGTAAAAAAAAGAAGCAGGCTCCCAAGCTGTCTCTGTGTGATCCCTCCTGTGAGCAAGTTTGTCTAACATGCTGCAAAGTGTTTCCTCAGTAGGCCTGCTGGGGTCTTGAGTCACCTGGGTCCACATCTGAGGAGGCAGTGTGGGGCTAGCCTCTCACTCCTTCTTCCTCTTTCCCTTTTTCCTCCGAGGCCCTTGGCCTTTATTGCTTCATCATACCCCTAAACCTTCTTCTTTCCTTGGGGATGCTGCTCCCATGTGACCTGCAGTGTCAGGGACTTTCTTGGCCAGGGCCTGGAAGTTTCTAGAGCTAACTTCTAGCCCCAGGTCCCAGGGTTCTTGTTCCTGCCCAGTGTGGGCTCTTTCTTCTATCTACTCTCAGTCTTTCCTTTAAGGATTAGTACTTAGAAATCTGATTTTTCTAATCTGACTAGAAAGCAGATTAATGGTTGCCAGAGAGCAATCCCTTATGACTCTGCATTGGCTTCTTCTCAATCTCCATGTCACTTCTACAGAGTAAACTCTGGTATTCAATCATCCTCCATGTGAAAAGATGTAGGTGGCTTGTGCAGATTTGGTATCTTCTTCCTCTGCATTGTGTCCATATCTCTCTGGGTTTGGACTCAGCTTTTGAGTCACTTCCACCTGATTGGAAGCTTCCTATTAGTTAGACTGCCCTTTTGTACTTTCAAACTATTTCCTTAACTAACTCTAGAGTATTACCCTTCTCTCTAATTAGCTGGAGTATAAACAACTGCCCCACTCAGTCTACATTTTTGCCCTTCTCAGCCTGAAGACCACCAACCTACCTCTAATATCCACTGAGCTCAACTAAACTTCCCAAGGATGATGGAACATGATTTTTTAACCCAAGAGCCTTATCAAGTGTTCCAGGATCCAATATATTGCCTGTCTTTCCTTGTCATACTTTTATCCACTGCCCAGTTGGGAATTTCTGGAGAGAGCTGCTAAGGCTGGGGGCCGTGTGTTAATTTGCTAATCATACTGGTACAGGTAGCACTAGGTATTTTTTTTTCTGTACTCCTGTGAGTTATTTACATGCAGGATCTTGTTTAACATCCTTTTGACCTTTGCATTTGTTAAGAGTCTTTGAGATATGCAGGACCACTTCCCAAATCATAGAAATGAGGAAATGGAGGTGCCAAGAGGTTAATAGCAGAGCCAAACAACTAGTTACCAGCATCTTCACTACACTATAGTCCTCTGTGCTTGTGGGATATTACTTAACATTCAGAAGGAATGATAGTACATGTCATTTGCCAAGAATTAATATGTAGTTTTGGTGAAATCCATAAAAATGCACTTCTCAGTTTTTTGACTACAGGGATTGACTTCAGGGAGCAGCCCTGACCAAGAGTTCCAGCTGTGGTGCTCTGAAGATGACAATCACATTTGTACTACTCCCCAATTAATGACATTCATTTCTGAGTGATGCCAGGTTGCTAAGGCCAGCTATTCCTGGAAGACATGGAACTCCTCTGATTGTTGATTCCAGCTTAAAGACTCCCTGGCAACCATGCCAAACTCACCTAGAATTGCACCAAGGTCTATGATGCTTTCTTCTAACTTTTCTTCCTTATTTGCCTCTCTTCTTCACTTGAGGTCCTATTTGCATTGCAGTGTGATGGTTCTGCCAGTCTCTTTGGGGTCCCTTTTCACTTTCTCTTCCACATATTTTAGCTAGTAAATGTCTTGCATGTCTAATCCACTGGGTGCCATCTTAGTAGACACAGACAAGTCACTGTGCTCAGAAGTTTACAAGCATTGTCTTTATTAGTCCTTAGAGCCAACTTATGAGGTGGGAGAGTATAATATCCATATAAAGAAGAGGAAAACATGAATATGTTTAATGTTATCTTTTCAGACTGAAGGGCTGAGATAGAGCTAGACAAGGAGCGGTGGAGCCACATAGTTTCTAGTAAGCAGGGCCTCTCAGGATACACCCTCTAACCCTCCAGTACTGTGGTACAGAGAAACAGAAGTGGGTAGGTTTGTAAGAGGGTAGAGACACCTAGCAGAGGACAACTATGACACCACCTTGCCCAGGAGACATTTAGAGCATGTGATTGGCATACAGGATGTGCCCTCCATGTGGAGTCACTGTGAATTAGATAAATATGAAAAAAGTTTATGTGATGAAAAGCCCAGCTTTCTGATTCATCCACTTTCAGTCAAGGGAGGGTTGGGACATACTAAGACAATGAATATACAAGTTCTGTGCACATAATTAACTTGTGCATTCCATCAGGTAGCACTTTTGGACTGAGCATCATGTGCCCATTATGGAGATCTAGGTGTAAAGATCTTTGCTCTGACACAGAATGGATCATAAAAAGTAAGAGAATTAATATTTACTCTGTATTAAATGGTAATAAATGACAAGAACAGAACAGGATGATGTGATAAGATACTGAAGAGGTTGCAGGCTTACTTTAGGCAGGGTAGTCAAGGAAACTTTCCTTTTGGGTTTGCTGTTGCTGGCACCAAGTGCAATTTCATCTGGAACAGATGGTATATAAAGTTATAGGATTGACTTGAGATGGCCTAAGGCAGTGATTCTTATACTCAAGGGTGCACCAGAATCACCAGAAGGGCTAGTTAAAAGTCAGGCTGCTGGGATTCACCCAGGGGTTTCTGATTTAGCACGTCTGGGTCAGGGTCCAAGAATATGTTTTCCCATAAAGCTCCCAGGTGATGTTGATGCTCCAGGTCCCATACTAGTGTGTTATGGTTTAGATATGAGGTGTCTCCCAAAAGCTGTGTAAGAGACAAGGAAAGAATGTTAAAAGACGAAATTATTGGGAGATGTGACCCAATCAATGGATTAATCTACTTGAATAGATTAACTGGGTGATAACTGTGGGAAGGTAGGGTGTGCTACAGGAGGTAGGTCACTAGGAGCATGCCTTTGGGGTTTGAATTTTGTCCCTGGTGAGCAGATGAGAACAGTATTGCGCCTCTCTCTCCCCCCCCTCTCCCCCCCATCCTTCTTGGATATCATGTTGTGAGCCAATTTCCTCCTCCACACCCTTCCACCATGATGTTCTGCCTCATCTTGGGTCTAGAACTATGGAGTTGGACAACAGTGAATTGAACCTTTGAAACTGTGAGCCAAAATAAACTTTTCCTCCTTTACAATTTTCTTGTCATGTCTTTTGGGCACAGTGATGAAAATCTGATTAAAATATTTGCAGATCCACCACTCTAGGTGTAAACATAACTGGGAACAAGAAAGCAGTTGAATTCCAAGCCTAGATTTAGAGGTTTAGGAGCAAGAGAAGGGGGTACATAAAGTGGAAGTAAAATCAGGAGAATACCCCTGAAGCTGGGTGAAGATAGTTTGAGAAAAGCAGGAGGGACCAATTACATTGACTGTTACTGAAGAGTTTCAGAATTGAGGACTGAGAATGATAGTGGATTTAGGATGAGAAATGTCATTGGTGATTTTGACAAGAGCCAATACCATGTGGGCTGGGGCTGGGGCTCAATGGTAGAGCGCTTGCCTAGAAGGTGTGAGGCACTGGGTTCATTCTCAATACCAAATAGAAATAAAATAAAATAAAATAAAGGTCCATCGACAACTAAAAAATACTTTTTTTTTTTTAAAAAAAGAGCCAATACAGTGGTAGGTATGGATGAGTGCCTTAATACAGTGGGTTGAAGAATGATCAGGAGGGGAGGAAGCAGAGACAGGGAAAGATAAAATCCCTTCCAAGAAACCCTTGTTCTCAAGGGGAAAGGAGGAGTGAGAGCATGAGTGAAGTGAAGACACGTCCTTGATTTTTGGAGGAGGACACTATTCACATGTACTGCAATGATAACTAAGATGAGAAGGGGGAAAGGATGGTAATTTTGAAGACAGGAGATTATGGGAGGGTGAACTGAACACGAAAATGGAGTAGGATTGCCAGGCAGCTCTAAGGAACAACTTGAGATGAGTGGTGAAGCATTTAAAGGGAAACCAGTTGGTATGGTTGTGATCATAATTGTGGAAGGGCCCAGAGTGATGTTGCATGACTGTAATCCCACAACTCAGGCAACCGAGGCAGGAGGCTTGCAAGTTCAAGTCCATCCTAGACGATGTAGCCAGACCCTGTCTCAAATAAAAAAATAAAGAGGTTAGCTAGGCTTCCTTCAACAGATAAAAAAAATAAAGAAAATGTGGCATATATACACAATGGAATATTACTCAGCCATAAAGAGGAATGACATTTGCCTGTAAACGGATGGAACTGGAGAGTATCCTGCTAAATGAAATAAGCCAATCCCCCAAAACCAAAGACCAAATGTTCTCTCTGGTATGTGGATGCTATTCACAATAAGCTGGGGGTGGGGAGTGGAGATTCATTGGATTTGACATCGGGAGTGGGGATGAATAGAATTTCATGGGATCAGACAAAGGAGAATAAAGGGAAAAGGGATGGGAATGGGAAAGACAGTAGAATGAATCAGACATAACTTTCCTATGCTCACATGTGAATACACAAGCAGTGTAACTCCACATCATGTTTAACCACAAGAATGGAAGTTATACTCCATGTATGTGTAATATGTTAAAATATACTCTACTGTCATGTATAGCTAAAAAGAACAAAAGAACAAATAAAAAATTAAAATGAATAAAAGTAAATAGATTGGTATATAGGTCAGTGGTAAAGCACCCCTGGGTTCAATCCTCAGTATAAAAAAAAATGGTGTCAAGGCTGCGGACACTGAGAAGGTGGGGGAGGGGGTTGGCAGTGGGGCAGAGAAATTGTTGGGAAATTGAGTGAGTGTGTAGGAAAAAGAGAAGGTGTGCTCAGAGAGTGGGATCCTTGGTATCAACTGTTGGTAGTAGAAGCCAAGAGTATGACCATGATAGTTGGTGACTGAGGTCACAAAGCTGAAAAAATCTTAGGAGTTGAGGAAAACAAGGGATGGAGAGAGAAGGGTATGGGATAAGGCAGGGTGAGAATTCTGGAGTCCTGAGGAGCCATGGCAGAAGTAGTGGTGAAGACAAGGAATGGGAGATAACAGGGAGGTGAGCAATGGGAAAGGATCATGCATCCTATAGTCCCATGGCAGGTGCTCAAAGATGGTGGGGTTTGGAGGGCAGGAAGTACACCAATTCCACCTGCATGGTGTGAGGGATGTGGGAGAGAAATCAGTCTGTGCCTGAGAAAGCTGTAGGAAAAACAATGGTGTTGGGACACAGAGGTAAGAGAAGAGCATGACAGAAGGTGAGGATAGAGGGTTGTTGCCTGAACATGCATGCACAAAGGGCATTGGCAGTTTAAGTCATATTAGAGGCAGGATATGCAGAGACTTCTGCAGATGGCAGACTCAATAATGAACAGTCTGCAGGTATTGGGCTGCCATGGCACCTGGGCATATAAACCACAATGACCCTAGTCTCGACATTCTCGTGGAAGAGATGGACAACAACTTGGAATTATTACTTACTTTTTGGATTGAGTAAAAGGTGGGGAGAAGGAAGATGTCTACAATTTATATGGTTTTAAAATGAAAGAATGATTGAGTTATGCTAACCTGTAGTAATTTGCAGAGTGAATCCAGATAGCTAGATGCAGAGCAGAATGAAAACTGGGTCCCATTTTAAGCTCTCATGTTTTTTTTTTGTTTTTTTGGGGTTTTTTTGTATTGGGGATTGAACCCAGGGGCTCTTAACCACTGAACCACATCCATAGTCATTGCTTAGGGCCTCGCTAAGTTGCTGAGGCTGGCTTTGAACTAGTGATCCTCATGCCTCAGCCTCTGAAGCTGCTGAGGTTACAGGTGTGCACCACTGTGCCTAGCTCCCACACACTTTTTGAATATATTTTGCATCTACATGGTTGACTTTGAACTATGTGAGAACATGGTAAGGAGAGAGGAAGGAGGCTTGCAAGTTCCAGTCCTGAGGCTATGGGTCAAGAAACCTAGCCTCGATGAGGAGGAATACTGGTCATTCATAGAACTGCCAGATTAAGTACAGAACATGCCATTAAATGTCCACATACATGAGATCTATTATACAAGACACTTATTATCTAAAGGAAATTTAAATTTAACTGAGTTTCAGTACATTTATTTGCAAAATATGGTAATCCTAGTCACATGATCTGATAGCATAACTTCAAAGGAATTAGATATTTTTAGGAGGGCAGATGGAGAATGATTGTAAGCAATAGCGAGGAGTGAGGAGAGCATTGATGTTACCTCAAGGCTCTGTGACACAAGGAAGGTGCTAGAGAAGGCTCAGAGGATATATTATCCTAAGGTGGAGGTGAAGGAGCTTGATTTGTATGACAGTGAACGAAGAAAGCACAGAGGAAATTTTCAGGATGTCACAAGGCAGAAAGTTGCAGGGCACAGGCTGTGGCAGGAAAAGGGGTTCTCATCAGTAGGATGCCAAGCTCTGTGGGGCTTCTCAAACGTGCCACCAGAAGATTGTCTAATTGAGACAATCACAGAGATGACCCCCCCGCAGCCTGCAGTATTAGCGGGGTGCCCATTCAAAGCACTGGATGCTAAATACCAGCAGGATTCCACTGAATGTCATGGCTCTTCCCAGGAAATTACAATGAAATTTAAGAACAACAACAAATGTGGCCCTTCTCCTTCGCTGGCTGTAGTTCTGCAGGCTTGAAGTGCCACCTAAGCAGCCTATAGGCCTCCCTGGGTCACAGAAACTCTGCCACAGCTCTGTGCTTGTGAGCCAACAAGTCCCCCCCTCCACTGAATGATATTCTTTACCATGCCTTGGTTTAGCATTCCCCAAATCCACCCCCACATGCCTTCTCCCAGTTCACACGAGAACATTTTAGCCAGGCCCTGCAGTTCATCTGAGGAGAAGGCATCTCCCACCCACACAGGAACTGCACTTCCCTCCCCTGCTGCGATGGGCTGTGATCTTACCTACTCTGAGTTTGCCCTTGCCATCGGTCCTGCAGCAAGGACAGTTAACAGGATGGATGCTGCCCAAGACAAGCAACGTCTTTTGAGGTGGCTCCCTTACAGGCGGTCTTTGTGGCCTACAGAGACAAAAAAGGTGCTCCCCAGTTCACAATGATTAGGGGATTGCTGATTCTAGGGTGACAGCTTGGGGGTTCCCGGTGCTCCAAATTCTTGTGCTCATCGGCTTTCCAGGTCTCAGGGCTCTACTCCTCCCTCTTCAGCTCCCCAGTGGAGGTGGAGACCTGTGCACCAGCACATGCCATCTCTCTGCAGCAATGCCAAACATCCATTAGCACAGGACCTGGCCGTCAGCAGCGTGCCTTACAGCTGGAGGAGAAGTGGACTCCTGGAAAGAGGGTTTACAATAGGTGACAGGTGAGGCTATGGCATCACACAAACCCACCTGCGATGGAGATCCAGCAGGGACCCTGCCTCAAAGAGGAGGAAGATAGGAGTTCACGGGAGACATGGCCGCCTCTCCTGGATAAAGGTACCACTTGTAGATGATATGCAAAAGAGACCAGCCTCTCTCCCTTCACCCCAACCAACAGAAACCTCCGACCTGAAAAATAGCGGGGGGGGGGGGAAGCAGGATCTGGATTCAAATGCAGGGAGTCAGCCCATGTGGCTGGTCACCATTTCTCACTAACAGGACCAAGTGTCATATCCTTGTTCCCTCACAAGTGCGATTGTCACCTGGGTTGCAAGATTCCCGTCCCTTTCTAGGGCACCTGGAGTTGATCTTCAGAGCAGAGCCTTAAGCCACAGCTCACTTGCTCTCCTGATGAAAAATGAAGGAATGAATGAATGAATGAGGCAGTAAGGGAGAGAGTAGAACCCAGATGCTAACATGGCCCCAGCTGGGAGAGAGAGACACACACAGGGTCGTGGAGAAGCTAGAGGGCACTGTCTGGGTGAATGGGGTCTGCACAGAGTGCCGAGGCCTACAGTCTGTTGAAAATGATTCCCAGGACCATGAGGGCTTCAGGGGGCCCCAGGAGGCTGCTCTCTGTCAGAGAGGTAGGTCAGGCCTGACACCCGTACTGTCTGGAAGGCGACATGTAAAGTTACACAACGTCAACCACAAACGTGAATATTTATTTGGAATGAGCAGGGAACTCACAATGAGCCTTCAAAATGACAACAGCCACCATGATACTTTCCATGATCTTATTTCGTGGTGAGTGTGCTTATACGCTTTCTTGGATGCTCCACCGGAGCGAGCCATGGTGCAATTTCAAGCGTGGTGGAGCAGGAGTCCAAGGGGAAAGACACAACAGTTGGATTGTGAATCCAGAGAGCTACCTTGCAAGGTCGAGAAAAGCACCTGCCTAACATAGCCTAACACACATAGCCTAACAACACACGAGAACAAGGGACTTCCTCCAACAGCTACCCACCCGCTCAGGATCCCCTCAACCCTCGATGCTTCATTCAATCAAGTTTTCAAAGTAAACTGGTTTTTCTCACGTGTATTCTCAGAAAGACGTTTTGCTTCAAGTTCGTAGGAGAATCCGTGGGTTTTGCACGCATCATTTGAGGGTGTGTGTTTAATTACATTTGGACGATGGCCAGGTAGGGCCGAGCAGAGGCTGTTTCTATCTTCCATTTGCAACTTGGCAGTCCCGGTACTGGCACTGTGCCAGCTGCCTGGAAAGACTGACCCAGTCTGCGTTTCTGCGGTGGGAGCCTGCTGGCCCGTGAAGAAGTCGGGGGGTACACCTTGAGACAAATGTCTCTGTGTGAGGGCCTGTGGGATCCAGAGCAAATGCTTGCTGTCCTGTAACTCATCCTCTGTGGATGGGCTCCTCTCCCATCCACTCCATGGAGTGGCTGGCCTGTGAAGTGCTCAACCTGGGACTGGATGGCCATGTGAGGAGGATCCAGTCACTGCCAGTGATGGGAGGGGGCCTGTGGCCTGTGTGCTTCAGGAAGCCGCTGCTCTTCCGCCTGTGAAGAAGGGCCACTCCCTGCTCCCAGAGGCGGAATTTCATGAATGCACCAAGTCGATGCTCCTGGGCAAGATCCCACGGGACAAAAGGGCCCTTGGGTGCCAGGATTTCACCCATGCCCAGAGGATGGTGGGCTGGTGATCCAGCAACTCTGTGCTCGGCTGGACTTCCAGAATGGCTTTTGAAGAAGTATCAGAAGGTGATGATATCACAGGAGAAAGCATCTCTGTCATTGGTTTTGACTTCAAGAAGCAAATAGGTGTAGCAGGGAAAGTTCGGGGATGATGTCAAGAAGGAGCCCAAGGCATATGTATATCCACATGTCCCTGGACGCAGGAAAAATCCAGGGGATGTTTGTGTGAGCACACGCATGAGGTTTCCCAGGTTAGTGTTGCTAGGTAGCTGAAGGCCGGGCCTTTGCTGGTGTGTGTCCTGTATGAAAATATCAAGTGGGAAGGGCAGGAGTGTCGTGAGAAATAGCGGGTGAGGGGTTTGGGGACAAGAAATGTGGCTGAAGGTGGCATCCACCAAGGGGAGAGATGGATCCACCATGAAGAGTGCACCTTCCAAAGGTCTCTTCCAAAGGTGCCAAGCATATGGGACTGCCTAGGGAGGGGGTGAGGCGCCTCCTTTCACACAGAGGGGCGGCCTGATGGGTTGGGGAGAGGAGGAGGCCCCTGCGGAGGTGCAGGGCTGGGGAAGAGACCTGACCACCTTTCTGCCTCTCCTGGATCTCTTCCTCATCTCCTTCAAGATGTCCTTGTCGAACAGTTCCTTCTCCCGTGGATGCACAGGTGGCCCTCGCAGGTACTTCTCTTCTGCTCCCTTGTAGTCGAGTCCGTCCAGCGCAGCGATTGAACAAATGATCGCTTCTGGCAGCAGGACTTCCAGAAGAAATCTCACTTTGTCACCTCTGATGAGAGTGAGCAAGGCCTTGTCCGTTTGCTCGTAGATGTCCTGCAGATGCTTGACGACGACATCCAGCTGATCCTCGTCCTCCAGGTACGTCTCGATGCAGAACACGTACCGGCTTTCACTCAGAAAGGACGTCAGCCACCGGGACTGCTTCCTGCCCTTCACGATGTCCAGCAGATGGTGGTCGGCCCCCTTCTTCTTCACGATGAAGTCCACCAGCTTCTGGTTGGCTCGGTCCCGAGCGGCCCTCATGCGGTCGGGGAGCAGCTTCTTGCAGGTCCTCTTGCCGCCCGCGCCCACCGAGGTCTCCTCCTCGGAATCTTCCAGGTCTGCATAATTCACCTTTGGAAAACTGACGTCCAGGTCCCCGTCTTGGATGGCTTTGCGCATGGGGTAGCTGGCGTCGGCCGCGTAGTAGTCCAGGAAGGAGCCCACGAAAGAGCCCCGACCCACCCGCTCTCGGTAGTGGGCAATGAGCGACAAGCACCAGTTCACACTCTGCCGGTACGCCTTGCTGGCTCTCTTCAGGAGTTTCTCCTTCTCCTCACAATCCAGGTGCTTCAGCCTGTGCAGAGGGACCCGAATGCCGCTGCGTTCCCCGCGCAGGTTCGCCTCAATCAACAGCACCCGGGCCGTCTTCTGGGTTTTGCACACGCTCTTGACCACTGCCGGCCAAAACGGATGATCCTGAAACTTGAACCAGACCATCGTCCCTCTTTTGATAGGGCAGGGCTCGCGTGCCGAAGGCCCTGCTGCGGCTCCTCGCGCTGGTCGATCGCCAGCCCTTATGGTGCTGGCCCTGGCGGCCCTCATCGCCTGGGAGCGCACACGGCGTGGGCGCCCCTGCAGTCCTTTCTTGGGGTCTGGCGCCTGGAGCTTCCTTTTCCTGTGGGCGAAACCGAGGGAGCGATGCAGGCTCCGGGTAGAGCAGGTGGAGGATGCTGCCATCCCTTCCAAGGCGCCCTCGCCTGGGCCCTCTGCATTCTCTGTGAAGGCAGTGCTCTCCTGGGAAGTAGCCGGGGTCTCTGGGCGGGTGTCCCCGGCCTCTTGGTGCTGAGCTTTGGGCACGGCTGCAAAGAGTCTTGCTGGAGGCGACCAAGCTGGCTGTTGGTCTTTAGCACAGGCATCCTCCCCCACGGCGGGAGGACGCGCCAAGGGGCCTGCTTCTTCTGCCCCCTCTTCCTGGCGGTCACCTCCACTAGGAGGCAGGAAATCTGGACGCTGGTGGGTGCCTTGCGATGCCTCTGCTTGCTTTTCAGCTGGAGACAGGCGGATGGCTGTGTGCACCTGGGAATTCTCGCCATGCAGGTCGTGCCCCTTCTCTGAACGCACGCGCAGGGATCCCCGGTG